TATTTTAATAATATTTTCGGTGTTTAGATTCAGATTTGATAGTTTTTCAGTGTTTAGTTGAATTAGTGTTGTTTTTGAACTTAAGTTTAACTGTTTTGAAAAGAGGTTATGTAAACTGCAAATTGGCCTGTAGATATAAGGTTTGGTGATGTTTGTGTTTGAGAAATCATGTAATTTGCAATAGGCCTATGTAGGACTTCATTAAATGTATGGTGTGCCAGTTGACAGATGTGAACGCAATCGTTAGGACGGACCCACTTACCTCAGGAAAGAAGTTAGGCTACATTGATTGTAGATATTTCATGTCGTGTTTTTGTTAAACTGGGCAGAACATGGGCTACTTTTTAAAAAGCTTGATGCTAGTCACTATTCATTTTTAAACAATTCTCCTTTTGTGTTCCATAAAAGAAAGAAGGGCATATAGAGCATTACAACAACACCAGGTGAGTAAAGGAAGACTTAATTCTCATTTTAGGGTGAACTATCCCTTTAAGTAGCCTGAAAATACTGTAAAACTTGAAGGCACAACCAATACAGCCTAATGTGAATTTAATATTTATAATTTGTGCATTACAGTAATGCAGGTGTATATATATAAAATGAGAAGATCGGAGGAATTTTCATGTAATGAAAATGAGTTTGCATTGCATTGCTTATTATTAGTTACTGTATAATCTCACAAAATATACAACAGGTTGTCAGATTAGTTTATGATGCATCTCAAATAACCGTAATCCTGATTTTTTTTATTGTTCTTTAGCAGATGGTGATTTTTATTTTTACAGACATTTACAACAATTCAAATGATTGTTTTTTATTCATATTTTAGGATAGATAGGAGACTGTTTGTCACACTTTTCACTCCAGTGAATATTTCTCACAGTAAATGTAATTTTGAAAGTTAGTTTCTGTGGACTACCTGTTTCCTCTGCTATTGCCCTGGTGAAAGATTATTAAATTGTCACAATGGAAACAGAACTGTATTAACTAGTTATAACCATATTACTATGTGACAACTAGCCCCAGTTTCCCATAAACTGCAGCAGATTAGTATTGGATGATGAAGTCAGATAATATGGATCATTGGGACGTTATAATGTGTATATTTAGTCCTTCATATGGGCAAGTCTGTGTGCACATGTCAATACTGTATTCAAAACCTTTAAAAAGGGCTTTTTTTTTTTTTACAATTATTTTGTTTTTTTCATCGAAATGGTAAAACTTGTTAAAGTTTTGCCACTTGACTTGCTATGTAAATAATAATAATAATAATAATTGATGGACATGATTTGAACAGGATAAATGGTCATACCATCCAATCGTCATCAAATAATCACACTTGGCTCTGTCAAAAATCACGCATTAGAAATAAAGAGCACGTTCTCATGGCGTCATATACTGACGCTTTTGCCAATACGTCAACATCCAACGCACACGGCACCCTTAGCGTCAATATGAGACGCATATGGGCCAGAAGGCGCCTCCTAGTGGTCTAACCCTAACCCTACCCCAGACCTATACCTACCCATAACCAAAGCGTGTTATATTGACGCTAAAGGGTGCCATGTGCGTTGGAGACTTCATCTAGTGGAGACGTGTGGTACTGCGGCCAAACTAAATATTACTGAAAACTGCATTTATTGAGATATCAACCTCAAATTTTGAAAATCTATATTTCATATTTTTCATAACAATTAACGTAACTGTTACGAACTGCTCCGAGACTGGGAGATGTAGATCCAAATGCAGCTTTATTAAGAATAGTCGTACAGGCAGGGTCGAGAATCAGCAGACAGGACAATGGAGAATACACAATGGGAATCCAAGAAGCAGGCAGAGGTCAGGGCAGGCAGCAATAGTCAAAATCCAAGAACAATCCAAAAGTCAAAAAACCAGAAAACAAACACAGAAAATGCTCAGAAATGCAGACAAACAGTACAACAAGACTTCGCAGGGATTGAACAAATGAACCAGGTATATATAGACAGACAAACAGGATGATACACAGGTGAATGCTATCAGAGAACAAGGTACAGGTGAGTGTGATCAGTGAAGATGAGTCCGAGCAATGAGTTATGGGAAATGTAGTCTGAGAGTGATACAAGACTAATCTGGAGTGCCTACTGGTGGGTATCAAGGGCACTCCAGCTGGTGACCGTTACATAGCCCCCCCTTTAAGGAGCGGATTCCAGACGCTCCTCAAAATGTCCAGGAGGGAGGTGAAGCAGAGGCGGACCTGGGGGCGGGATGGAGGGCCAGGCCCGTGGAGCGGAAGAGGACCTGGAGACTGCGGCGGAGCTGGCTGTGGAGGCGACCAGGTCGGAGCAGGCTGTGGAGGTGGCCAGGGCGGAGCTGGCTGTGCGGGAGGCCAAGGCAGTGGAGACCCCTCGGGCGGCCACGGCGGCGAAGACCCCTCGGGCGGCCACGGCGGCGAAGACCCCTCGGGCGGCCACGGCGGCGAAGACCTCTCAGGACCAGACACCGGCTCAGGAACAGACACTACAACAGAAATGGTCACAAGGACAGATACAGATACAGACACAGAAACAAACACTGGATCGGGAGCAGACACTGGATCGGCCATCTTGTCCGGAGACACTGGATCGGCCATCTTGTCCGGAGACACTGGATCGGCCATCTTGTCCGGAGACACTGGATCGGCCATCTTTTCCGGAGACACTGGATCGGCCATCTTGTCCCTAAACAGTGGCTTGGAGGCGGTGACGTGAACTGTCTCTAAATTGGCAGAAGTAACATGAACAGTCTCTGAATATGCCATCTTCTCTATAGACACTGGCTTGGAGGCGGCCATCTTATCCGTAGACACTGGCTCGGAGGCGGCCATCTTGTGCGTAGACACTGGCTCGGAGGCGGCCATCTTGTGCGTAGACACTGGCTCGGAGGCGGCCATCTTGTGCGTAGACACTGGCTCGGAGGCGGCCATCTTGTCCGTAGACACTGGCTCGGAGGCGGCCATCTTGTCCGTAGACACTGGCTCGGAGACGCGAAGCGTCTCTGGCTCGGCAGAAGTGACGTGAACAGGCTCAGACTCGGCAGGGCTGACATGGAACTCAGGCTGGGCTGTCTCGGCGGGACGTGACTCTGGCTGGGCTGTCTCGGCGGGACGAGACTCTGGCTGGGCTGTCTCGGCGGGACGAGACTCTGGCTGGGCTGTCTCGGCGGGACGAGACTCTGGCTGGGCTGTCTCGGCGGGACGAGACTCTGGCTGGGCTGTCTCGGCGGGACGAGACTCTGGCTGGGCTGTCTCGGCGGGACGAGACTCTGGCTGGGCTGTCTCGGCGGGACGAGACTCTGGCTGGGCTGTCTCGGCGGGACGAGACTCTGGCTGGGCGGAAGTGACGTGAAGCGTCTCTGGCTCGGCAGAAGTGACTTGAAGCGTCTCTGGCTCGGCAGAAGTGACTTGAAGCGTCTCTGGCTCGGCAGAGGTGACTTGAAGCGTCTCTGGCTCCGCAGAGGTGACGTGAAGCGTCTTTGGCTGGACGGTCTGGACGGTCTCTGGCTGGACGGTCTCTCGCTGGACGGTCTGGACGGTCTCGGGCTGGACGGTCTCTCGCTGGACGGTCTTCTTGGCCCTCCGGACTGACATCAGCGGCGGCTGTGTCACGGTGGACATCAGTCCTGGACACCCATAAACGGATGACATGGCTGGCTTGACGGCTGAAGTAACGAGAAGATTCTCAGGCAGTGCGGTTGTGATAACCTCCTCCTCCACCTTCCCTACGGTGAAGGTGGATCCACAAAACTCCAGGACAAAGTCAATATACTGTGCCAGGGTCCAGCTGGGGTCTTCCTCTGGTAAATTTATCCTAATGTCCTGGTCTAGTCCACTCCAGAAACAATCTTTCATCATTGAATCATCACCGGGAACAAGATGACTATAAAAAAGAAACTCCTCCACATACTCCTCAATGATGCGATTGAACTGATAAATACTACACAATTCTCTCAGCGGATCCTGAATGGTACCTGTTAGACTCATGTTGGTCAACGGTGCTGCTGGATCTCAGTGTGGCGAAGTCTTCTGTTACGAACTGCTCCGAGACTGGGAGATGTAGATCCAAATGCAGCTTTATTAAGAATAGTCGTACAGGCAGGGTCGAGAATCAGCAGACAGGACAATGGAGAATACACAATGGGAATCCAAGAAGCAGGCAGAGGTCAGGGCAGGCAGCAATAGTCAAAATCCAAGAACAATCCAAAAGTCAAAAAACCAGAAAACAAACACAGAAAATGCTCAGAAATGCAGACAAACAGTACAACAAGACTTCGCAGGGATTGAACAAATGAACCAGGTATATATAGACAGACAAACAGGATGATACACAGGTGAATGCTATCAGAGAACAAGGTACAGGTGAGTGTGATCAGTGAAGATGAGTCCGAGCAATGAGTTATGGGAAATGTAGTCTGAGAGTGATACAAGACTAATCTGGAGTGCCTACTGGTGGGTATCAAGGGCACTCCAGCTGGTGACCGTTACAGTAACATTCTGTAACTTTTTTTAAGTTGACTTTTAAAATCATTTTTCACTTCAGCAATAGGCTAAATCTGCCAAGTGTCGTCTTTGAAAAGAGATAAAACCCAAGTCTGTGTTTTGAAGCATTCAATATTTACGACAGTTTAATTTTGAAATATAACTTTGATATGCTCAAAAAGTGAATGGATCACAAATACAGCGTAAATATAATTTAGTATCCCCTAAAATACAAAATATTAAATAAAAACATTATCAAACTAAAATATAGTAGGCTACACTAATTTAATAAATAAATCAATAAAAAAAACTAAATTTTTGACCGACACGCAGTGAGGTTTTTAAAATAGTCCATCTGATTTTATGCCAGATGTGTTTAATTTCTGTAAAAAACAAAAAAACAAAAACAAAACAAAACTGAGTGTGCGCATGACATCCCAGTAAACAACAGAAGTGGAAAGTGCGAAAAAAAAGTCCCAGAGAATGAGATGACCCCGGTTCAGTTCACCCTGTCCTGGGTAGAAGAGGAGGAGAGAGAGAGAGTCACTCCTCCATGGGCTGGGTTTGTATATTATGTGTGCTGCATCCTGCATGCATATCAAACTCTCGAACTTTCTCGTCACACTTTATCAACAACAAATCCCTTCAAACTGTTTAACATGCTTCACCCGTGAGCACCTGAGCGCAGGACACCAGTTATTCTTCATTTCTTATTTATTCCGGCTGTCAGATTTGAAATCCACAGGTGAACTCGCGTGATGCCCAGCCAAACTCAGCGCCCGCGACTGTGCGTCCTGGACAAGGGCGAGAACGGATACGGCTTCCATCTGCACGGAGAGAAGGGCAAAAGCGGGCAGTTCATCCGCCTGGTGGAGCCCGACTCCCCCGCCGAGCTGGCTGGTCTGCGCGCGGGCGACCGGCTGGTGTTCGTCAACGGAGAGCGCGTGGAGAGCGAAAGCCATCAGCAGGTCGTGGCGAGGATACGCGCGAGCACCGGGAACCTGGAGCTCATAGTGGTGGACGTGGACACCGACCTGCTGCTGAAGAAACACGAGCTGAAGTGCGTGAGGGAGTTCGTCACGGAGGGGATTCCGATGCCCGAGTGTGACGATGAGCCCGAGATCAGCGACGAGATGATGCGGGACGACACGCCGCCGCCCCCGGTGCCCGAGAGGAACGGAGAGATCATCCCCGTGTACATTCCCGCGGTGGAGAAACTCAGAACATCCGTGAGCTCGGATACGGTGAGAGACCCCGCGCTAACATGATTAAAAAGTACCTTAGATTACAAATATAGTAATCATTCTTGCATATTTGCCACTTTTCACTTTTTCACTAGTTCACTTTTTTTTGTTTAAAAATTTGCTGATAATTTACTCACCCCCATGTCATACAAGATGTCCATGTCTTTCTTTCTTCAGTCGAAAATAAATTAAGGTTTTTGATTAAAACATTCCAGGATTTTTTCTCCGTATGGACTTCAATGGGGTCCAAACGGTTCAAGGTCCAAAAGACAGTTTCAGTGCAAACTGTTCAAAGGGCTTTAAACAATTCCAGACGATGAATAAGGTTCTTATGAAGTGTAACGATCGCTCATTTAATAAATAAATAACAAAGTTTAAGTTTTATAACTTGCTCTGTTCTGTAACTCTCCTGTTCGAACTCGATCATCAAAATTAACGAATCTTTTTCAGAGTCAATACGTTCATTTCGTTCATTGAATGAACCAAATGACACGAAAAAAGATTCGTTCATTTTGTTAAACAAGTTCGAACAGGAGAGTCACGAACGCGCATCACAGAACAGAGCAAGGCGACCATTTGAGCTTATGAAACTTAAACTTTGTTATTTATTTATTAAATGAGCGATCGTTTCGCTTGATAAGATCCTTATTCATCGTCTGGAATCGTTTAAAGCCCTTTGAACAGTTTGCAATTTGCACTGAAACTGTCTTTTGGACCTTGAACCGTTTGGACCCCATTGAAGTGCATTATATGGGAAAATCCTGGAATGTTTTCATCAAAAACCTTAATTTCTTTTCGACTGAAGAAAGAAAGACATGGACATCTTAGATGACATGGGGGTGCGTAAATTATCAGCAAAATGTGTATGAGTATGGTAGTCATTTACCATGGTAAATAAAGAATGTAAACCCTTAATTGTTTATAATTCGGGCTTAATTGTATAATTTGAAGATTTGAAGTTCACTTGTTGCAGTGTAGCCTACTTAAAATCATAAAAGTATATTAAAAAAACTCTAAATAATATGTTAAAGCAGATAATATTACTGAAATTAAAGTCCACTTAAAGAGAGACACTTTCATGACTATTTTAAGTAGACTTTTATAAAGTGTAATAATGCCAAATGAAAAGATTTAAATAATTATGTTACAAAAATCTTATAAAGTGCACTTATTTGGGTGTGTTCACTAAAGCGCTTGACTATAATGTGAACTCGTGTGTTAATCAATATTACATTTAAAGTGAATATATTTTACTTCATTGTTACAAATGTGTAATTACAATTATATTTATTGGAAATGACTTTCATTATATACGTTTTAACGAATACATTTTCATTTGCACTTAACATGCATTTAAGTGTCTGAAAACATGACACTCAGTTCAGTTGTTCTTGCTCTTTTTAAAAGTATGCTACTTCGTTTTCCACAAGGGAAGTTATGTAATAATTAGAATCAACCATTGAAAAAGTATCGGTCGAACACTAATCTGAACATCTGATCACATCTGTGCCATTTAATATAATAAACTACAATGATTTAATGGCATTACCACAGTACTTTTGTAAGTGTACTAGTACATTCAATATTAACGTAATCACTTTACCATGCACTGCCACTGTTGAACCCTAAAACTAACGCTTGAATCTAAATTCGTCATACTTTATTCTTGGAGAAGTCTAATTACATCCACGATACAAGTCAGTTTCATTGCTGTGATGTCTTTTTTCGTCCATATGTGCAGTTGAAAAATGGCTTTGTATTCCTCAAGCAGTGCTATGACAACTGTGAAACACACACCTACACACTGTAGTGCACTTGGCAGGGCGCACACCTATAGTGCTTCTTCACTCATTGACTGTGGGTGGTTGAGGACGACCTCCGCCGTAGGAAGAGTTAGTTCTCACAGAAGACAAACAACTCCATTCAGCCTCCGTCCTTGAGTAAACACTTTTAATGCACAGTTTCACACACCACAACCAATTACACAGGAACATTATTAAAGCTGATCATATGATGAACAGATCATCTGTGTGTTCGCTTGCTTGGAGGATTATTTTGTCCAGCTGTTTGAGAAAGATATTGTTGTGGTTTTCTCACGCGTCGCTCTATTTTCTGTTCAGACGGTTGTAACCGCGGTGTCTCTGCTGTGGTAATGATTTGCACATTGCTCAAGGAGGAAAAAGGCCAGACTCCAGAACAGCTGGGCTCCCCATGGTGACAGTCCTGTTTACCACTTACTATTCATTCTCACGTCGTCTGCATAACCAAATTACCCACAATGCCATTTTGGCATGATGGTCTGAGTGTGCGAATCTGCTCTGTAAGCCAACTGCCCTCGGTGAAATGTTAAAGGGATAGTTCACTTTGAAATTGATTACCTCAAGGGCATCCAAGATGTATGTGATGTATGTCCACAGTAGTTTCAATTTTGATATTTTTAGGTCAAACCGTTCTTGTCTGTAATATAATGGAGGTCTATGGTCACCACCTCAAAGAGCATGCACAGAGAAGTCCAAATTAAACAAGATTTAATGACTCGTAAATGTAAGTACACATTGACGGCCTAAGACACGAAACGAGCGGTTTGTGTGAGAAAACAAACAGTATTTATATCGTTTTTACCTCTTAGAAACACAGCCACGTCCAAGTGTTCGCTTTGTGGCTGTGGTTACTAAAGGGTAAAAACGATATAAATACTGTTCGTTTTCTCACACAAACCGCTCGTTTCGTGTCTTAGGCCATCAATGTGTACTTACATTTACGAGTCATTAGATCATGTTTAATTTGGACTTCTCTGTGCATGCTCTTTGAGGTGGTGACCATAGACCTCCATTATATGACTGACAGACACGAACGGATTGACCTAAAAATATCAAAATTGAAACTACTGCGGAAACAAAGACACCTACATCTGGATGCCTTTGAGGTAAGATAAAACATATCAAAAATAATTTCAAAGTGAACTATCCCTTTAATTGCTGTAGTCTATTTAATGTAATTAATTTGAATGAATAAAAATAGGGTTGAATGAATGATTCAACGACTCACTCATAAAGAATGCACTTGTTTCATCACTGGATGAATCAGCGTTTCTGAACGAATCACTTGAACGAATGATTCAATGACAAATACATTTTAACAGTCACTGGCTTTACAGTTTAATTGATACAATCTTTATTGGAAGCACAAAGTCACTTTCAAAAGGCGTTTTGCACTATTTTGATCGCTATCGTAGACATCAGTGTTTATATCCGAACTATAAACACTATTTGTAACACTAGGTTGAAAATCAACACAGATCTAAATGATTCAGTGTGATTTTGCCAAAGTTTTAACAGACACAGGCGAATCATTGTCATTTAGGAATGAGATGGCGTTGATGTTTGAATCGAGATTGCGATCTTTAAATGATTAATCGTGTATTACAGAGAATATAAAGCTGAGAGTGATCAGTAGACAATGCAATCGGCTCGCATCAAACTTCTTCGTAGCTGATAATATAAATATCCCAGAGATTTCCATTGAAATCTGCCGACTGTTACTCAAATCCAGTCTGTCTTATCCTCAACCTTTCAGATTTGCTATCACTTATCAAAGCGCACTTCTTTTTCTCAAGGGTGTGTGACCTTCAAATTTCCCATTTCAAAGCTAAACCAGTTTGAGGGGAAGTTTGAAGGTCACACACCCTTGAGAAAAAGAAGTGCACTTGATTGTATATGATACGCGATACCAAATGTCTTCTTTTAAAACGATGCAGGCGTGTTATCCTACGACACATTGAGTCCAAATACTGTCATCATATCACTAAATCATATTTCTCAAGACGGCCAGAAATACACCATGGCGTGTATCCTCCGTTAAAGAACAATCCTTTAAAACTTGCTGATGTTGCAAGTTGCATCTTTTGGCCTCTGATATTATTAATATACAAGAGCTGTGATTCTCTATGCAGGAGTGATTGAATGAAAAGAATGACTCTTACCGTGGTTTTCCTTTCTAAAGCCTGTTGCTTTCCTGGACTGCCCCGAGGGGAAGTCCGAATGAAATCTGTGAAGATAGCAGGGCTGTTTTTCAAGCGTGCACAGATGACTGGTCTTACATAAGCCGTTTCTCTGAGGCAATTACTTGCGTGGAAGTGCTTTTGTGTCGGGTGAAATCGACTGTGACTCCCCGGGTCAACTGCTGTTGCGTAACTCTGTCAGGAAGAAGCACGGGTACGTCGTCAACCCCGTGGCATATTTACTCGGGATCGGGAATCTCAGAGAAGATGTACTTTAACATACTGTAAGAGCAGGTTGAGTCTTTGAGCTTTAACGATCTCGGACATTTCCTGTCAAAACCATGCTGGAGGCTGGGATGAACTAGTATATGTTGATTTTGTTCAGAGGAAACACCAACAGACATCGGTTCAAACGTAATCAGAACTAGAACTAAGATTACGAAACTGGAAATATAGTTTTCCACTAGTTTTTTATTGTTTACGAAATTAAAATTTAGCCTAATAATGTTTATTTACCAAAACAGGACATGGTGATAAACTACAAAACAAAACAGTAAAAATGCAATACAGAAACTCCGAACACTTTTCTGAGTGATGATGATTGAATCAGAGTTTTGAAGCAATTCAATTATGGACAGTTTGAACTGATTCACAGAAATACATCTAACTTTTCTAACTCGAATGCCATTTTGTAACAATTTATAGTGAAAACTGGTGCCATGATTAAGAATGAATCATTAAATAAAAATGTTTTTGAATCATCGCTATGGTCTTTCTCAATATTATATATAGCTACAGTAGCCTGCAAAATCATCTCTACTATGTTGTGTTCATTCAAAATGAAAGGAGTAGTTCACTTTTAAAATGAACGAATCTTTTCCGGAGTCAATTCGTTCATTTCGTTCGTTGTGAACTACTCCTTAATATAGATTTTTTTTTCTAGTTATGCTAGGCAAAAGCAGTGTTATTGAGATTCTATTATAGTTTTATTATTATTTCG